ACAAATTAAAAAGACAGTACTATTATTATAATCTCAAGTACGACAATAATGGACAAGCGTACCAGATAAAGATACGATAAACAAATGAACTCAAGTTACACTTGTAACAATTAAATTCTTAATGACTGAATATAAGGATCTTACCCTTATTTAGAAAAACCGGTAATACCAATCCGGCCACTCCAAACTTAACCTTAGCCTGTTTATGGTTTCACAATGAAATTGTGTACGTACGTACGTAGCTAGAATTAGAGTAGATCCATGTGAAAATTTTAGGATCACAGGATTGCGTGCGAATCACGTCCATCACTAACGGATTGCATTTCTTTCGAGAAAAAAAAAAACCACAAAATATGAGCAAGATATAATAAAGTTTTTTTGCACGCGCGGATTTTTGGAGAATCCGTGATTTGTCTATCACTACTTTTAATCATATGTGATCAATTAAGAAATTGTAAGAAATAGTAAAATATAGTGTAAAAGAATCCAATTTTGTTTTCAATTTTGACTAAAAGACTCAAAATAGGAATATCAGATAATTTAATAATGCTTTTTAATTAAAAGATTTGTCATTTGAAATTTGTATATAAAAATGCTTTGAATTCTTAACGTTCCAAATTATTAAAATTAAAATTAATTCATTACAACATTTTAAAATCCTTTTGAATTAATAGAATCGTAATATTTAAAGCATCCTTTACATTTTCAAATAATCATGAAATTCTTATCGACTTTGACCATTTTCTTGGTATTTATCATTGTTATCGCTAATGCAGTCTCCATTAAAAGAAACTTAGGACAGAAAGTCGAAACCCAGGGGGTGAGATTCAAGGATTTATACGAACAAAAAGCTCTCAAAGTGCAAAGTATCTATAAAAGCTATAATGAAGAAATAAAAGAATTTGATAAAAAAATAAAACAAGCCGCAAAAAAAGACGGTACAGACGAAAAAACTGTAGAATGGTTAATAAAATGGAATGAACATTATGGGGAACTTGCAAAAGGATTGAACGCGTCCGCTGTACAATTCCTTGCTGCAGTTGATAAGCTTGGGGAAAAATTAGGGAAAAAATAAATATAATTTCGAATAATTTTTTGGATTTTTTAATTTAATTTTAGTTTTATTTATTTTGTTTTCACAATATCTCTTCCATACTTATAACAATGATTAATGTCATGTAATATTAATCTGTGACTTTATTTATTTTATTTTCACAATATCTCTTCCATACTTATAACAACGATTAATGTCATGTAATATTAATCTGTGAGTACATCAAGAAATAAAAGTTATACTTTATTTATATGACTTTGAAGAATCAATAATACAATACGATTATGAAGAAACGAAACCTTTCTATCATCAATTTCAATCTATATATGGGACTCCGCATAGCAAAACAGTGCATTGGGCCAACCAATCAGATTTTGAGATTTTATAATAATAATCTGTTAATATATTGTATCTTTCTAAAAATATTATTAATTTGTAAAATATATTAATAAAATGTATGTAAAATTTAGAATTTGGTTTGTTATTATTATAATTAAAATTAATCACGTGATGATTTCCAATTGTGATTTTCTCAAAATCACATGATTGTCCCAATGCACTGTTTTGCTGTGCGGGGTCCCATATATCGTTAATGTTACGCATAAAAAATACAATCTGATTGGTTACTGCTATAACACATGATATCATTATCTAGATAGATTTTTTTTTAGATCTATATAAAAAATTTTATGTTTTTTATATAAATAATTTTTTGAAAATACAGTAAAAAGCCAGGTTGACAAGTTATTTTTAAAATTTTATGTTAGATAATAAATAATGCCATATTCAGATTATAACTTTTTTTTAAAAAAAAATATATTATGACAGCTTTTTATTGAAATTCGAATGATTATCAGCTCAGAATCTATGAACTCGGTTTTGTATTTAAAATAATAATAACTAGATATTAGTCCCATTATTAAATGACGGGGCAGATTTAAACATTTTTTTTTTACAATATATTGTAGTGATAGGCAATTTTCATAGAAGTGAACAATCTACGTCATCCTCAAATTTCTTTTGCATAATACGTGAAATGTAAAAAGTAGCCAGTAGTGGCGAACGAAGACGGCAATCATATGAAAATCAGATAATCAAATACAGAAATAAAACAAAATAACGATAATCACTCCAACAGCTTAATGTTAGGACGAGCAAGATCATCTTATAAAGCCATTCTAATAGCTCTTTATGGTTAACCATTCTAATAGCTCTTTATGTTTAACCATTCTAATAACTCTTTATGGTTAACCATTCTAACAGCCTTTTAAGGTTAGCACTTCTGCACTTAGTGTTTGAATTAATATTCAGTATTTCGACCTAAACCTATTTAAACCATATGCAAATATGTTACACAAATATGCAATGTCTGTCTGTCCAACGTGCTCGTCTTTTTTAATAATACGTAATATGGGGTGTTACACATAAAAACAACATGTCATATAAAATTTTTTTTTACTTTAAGTACATTTTGTGGATCTTTATAAACTTTTTTATTGAATAGATATCTATTCAAAAATCAAGAACTGGTTTAATTTGTAACACCCCATGTAAGGATTATTATTCTTTTTTTGTTTAATTTTGACTCATGTATAATCAGTGAATTTAATTAAACCATTTTTGTATACATTGGCTTGCCTTACTTAAATACACTATTCAAATTCTCAATAGTTGCAAATCAATATTATTTTTCATTTAGTTTAATTAAACTTACCAGTTACGTTAATTTAATCGGCGAGTGTAAAACCTTTTTAATAATAGGTGTATTTAAATTATTTGAGTTCATACTATAGCATTTACTATTATAATATTAGAATTAATTTAATCAGTAAATATAAACATCTTTTATTTGATGAATATAATTAAAATATTTAAATGACAATTGTGTTCAAACATATTGACCATTATTTAATTTGTAATTCAGTAATTTGGTAAATGATATTAGATGACATTTACAAAATTTGTGTTATATAATGTCTTTCAACCGTTTTAATCACATTAAGTACTTTTATTCAATGTATACGTAATATCTTATTTTAAATTAGGTTGTTTAATGAAAACTGAACGGCGAAGCCGCATACGTGTGTCACTGCTAGTTAAGATGTAAAAAATTCACTTTAAAAAATATATAGATATATTAAAAACGATTAACAAAAATAGAATTCTTGAAAATGCTTATTTATCCACTATTCTACACGATAGCTACAGAAAAAAGAATAGGGTGATAAAATTGGTCAAAGTCGTGATATAACCTGATCACATTACAGAAATATTATAATCAATTAGGCAAAATCGCAAATTTGCAATAAACTGTCAATGTTCACTTTTAGTGATATGGGTTGACCACCATCAGCCGGGCGGGTGGGCGGATCAACCCTAGACCCACACTTTATGAATCAGCCCGGCTGGAATTTTTTCATCCAATAGGAATTCATTATTTAACTTATGATAATTGGTTAGATGAAGTGCAGTTGCGGATAAAATCAATTTTTTTTTAGATAAAATATTGTAAATTTAAATAATTTTTTTAGCACAATTATTGTTTTTATTCGATTATGAATTATTACCGTACTGTATGTATAATCAGGTAGAATTAGTAAATAAAGTTGTTTTAATAGATTAAAATTTAAATTTCATAATTTTACACAATAAATTATTCAGTAAATGTTATGAGCCGCTTCAATTCAATTTCAATTAATCGATGGTTGTGCAACATCTTGATCACAACAAATTATAATTACAATGAGGGACTTTAAAAGCAGCTATACTATAGTTGTAAGTGAATATAGTGGTTGATGGATGAATGTTGGAATAATTGATTGTGATAATGCGGATAATTGAATATTATAAGGTAAGCTTGGTTAATTGATAGTGAATAGTGGTAAGCAAATGTAACGGATGTATAGGCAAAAATAAATAGGTTAACAAATAAGAAAATGTATATAGATAAAATGAAGTAAATAATAAAATATATAAGGCATTTAAGCGAATAAATAATAGACATTAATTAATTCATATACCATTTCATTGATTACATTTTTTTTATTATAATTTATCAATTACACTTGTTTAACATTACTCTTTATTCATCACAATGTATTAAATTATAATTTCTTAGTTGAAAATTTTTTATTTGATAGAATAGTCGGCCCGGTTGACCAGCCTGAATAATTTTGGCAGCTCGGCTGACCCAGAGGTTTGGCATCGGCCCGTATCACTATTCACTTTGGCCAAACATGTATTTATTTCAGAGAAAATGAAAAAGTAAAGCCCTGTACAAAATTTAAAATCTCGAGTAAAAAATCATGAGCAAAACAGGTTAGAAATCAAACAACGTATAAATATAGATATCAACGAACTATCTAAAAAAAAAAAGGTTTGACTAATAAGATGCACGTATAAGCATAGACACTTGTATCTAGGGATGTTAAAAGTTCAACTCGACTCTATGAGTCGAGTCTTAATCTAAACTCGGTTCCGAGTCTGACTTGAAACAAACTCACCATGTTATGTGAAATCATGTGAATCAAAATGTGAAATTATCAGTTTTAAAATTTTTTATTTATAAAGTTATACATAATATATATTAATTATATACATGTTTTTATTCATTCTAAAACACTAGCTTTCAACCAATTTTTTAAGCACAAGGAAGCTCTAGTTATTTGTTCGAGAAGATGGTTTTGTGTAAGATTAATTGTATGATTCATAACAGAAAAAGCACATTCACACAGAATGCTTGTAACTTGAAGTGTATAGTAATCTGCTGTGACAGAAGCTATAGTTGGAAAATGAGAAGAATGTTGTTTTCACTACATTAATGGACTCATATCTGGCTCTGAGAGTAATGCAAGATAAGTGCCTATTTCATTTGTTAAATCTCTTAAGTTTTCATTTTTATTTTTATTTGTTTGAATTAGTTTACGAAAACTATCTAATAAACATTCTTGTTTAGATGACATAACCACCTTATTAATATTATATATTGAATATAAAATTCTTAATTGGTTTATAGCTAACTAGTGTTCCTTTTCATTAAAGGCTTCAAGTTTAGTTGATAGATCAAGGAGTGCAGGAATCATAGAAGATTGTAAAAGGTGAGACCAATAATTTTCTAACTTTATTTTTATTTCTTTTGCCATTTTACAATATATATTATCATTTAAAACAGATTAATTTAGGTGAGCAAAAAGATCTTGAATGATTATTCACAGAGACCCATAGGAAAGTAATGAGTCATTTGAAAGTATTAATGTCACCTCATAAAAAGGCTGAAGAAAATTTAATATGTTTTTAATTATACTCTAATTATTTTGTTTTAAATATTCACTTATTAAATTAGAATGTGATTATACAAGACAATTAATAACATCCTTAATTTTAACAAATCAGTTAAGCATAAAGTAGGTAGAATTCCACCTTACATCAACATTGAGCTCAAGATAAAGAGGTGGATAATCTAGGATGGCAGATATTTTTTTAATATCCTCTAAGAGCAATGGTGAATTCCTAATTTTATTACACAGATACCACATTTTATTTATTTGATTTAAATATAGTTTTTGACCTTCTTTTACTACAAGATTCAGAATATGTGCTACATAGCATTCATATATAAGTTCAGAGTTCATATGTTGCTGAAGATAATACAAGCAAGTTTGGTTATTAGACACATTATCACCTGTGAACCTGATTATCTTTTCTTTAATATCAAAGTCTTTTACAAGTTCAAAGATCTTTTCTCCAAGGTAATCACTGGTATAAGTATTATGTAAAGAGATAAAGTTTAGAAGAATAGTACACAATGTCCACTTGACATCAACCTAATAGACGGTAGCTCCAAGAAAGGGCTGCTGAGTACATGCAGTCCATACATCCAGGGTAAGGGTTAATTTACTTTTATTATTTTTTAAAAGGATTTTTATTTTTATTTTTTCTAACTTAAATAGCTTTTTAATATTTTCAGACATGGATTAATAGTAGGGGAACTTGTAATGCAGGTCAAGGGTATAAACAAATTT